CGAACACGATTGTGGATACTAACAATCAGAACGTCGTGAATTATAACTCAGTTTGAAATCTTTTTTGATTTCTCAATTCATTTTACAATTTTTGGTTTATTTTTATTTTCATTCTTTTTTTTTACTCTGTGATTTTGATTTTGTGTCTTGATCATTTTATTCGTTTTATTCTATTTTCATTTCACGTTTTATTGCTTAATATGATTGATAGTGCAGCTACTCATTCTTTTTTTTTTTTGCTCTTCCATAGATTTTGAAGTACGATTATATTAGACAGTGGAAGTCCGAACTGACAAAATTCACCATGGAACATTGTCAACTACTTTCAAACAAACGTTCATTATTATGTTCCAGAATACATAAACGAATAATGCGAACTTTATAACTTCATTCAGACAATGTTCATCACATCTGGTCTTCCTTGGAAGTTTGAGATGAAAGAGTGAAGTTAGTGAAACATGTTCCATATGAAACTTTTCGATATCAATGCATTGGCTCTTCTGAAATATTCTACAATGTTCGGAGTATCCAGCAAAAGCGTAGCAAACAAAGTTTTTGAATGCAATGCCATATATTTCTTATATCATTCGGGTACCGTCGGAGAATTACTTTTAAACAAACAGTTCAGGAGTTTTTCCGAAAATAACGTCGAAAAATAAGTTTATTACTATTTTCAGTGAAAATTAAAAATGTTACAAATTATCAAATAGGTTTTTATGCCAGACGTATCGTTTAATACTTCAGAAGACATTATCAAAGGCATTGTGGTTCATGCGTGCATCGTCCTCGATGCTCATTTCACCGCGTTGAAACTTAGCAAACCACTTACCAAGCCAAGTCTTTACTTCATTTCGCAGAAAAAGCAATGCCTTATCAACACACGAAAATCTTTTCTATCCATTTTCTTCAAAGTAACAAAAGTTGCTTCACTCGAAATGTTCCATCCCACAAACTAATAGTCCGGCAGCTGTGAAATTTGTACACGTTGAGAGTTAGAGTTAACTACAAATCATATGTATTTGACACTAGAGTTAGCTTATGAACTATTCATTCCATATAGTATTACTTCTTTAATTGACGACTTGTTTAATTTGTGGAAATTTATGTTCATTGAGGATACACTACAAAAACACACTTTTGTCTATTCTTCACGTAATTTCTTTATTGTTGACTAGTTTCGGCTATTACACCATTTTCAAAGTTTCGAAAGTTTACGCCATTTTCAAAACTTTGGAAATGGTGTGATAGCCGAAACTAGTCTACAATGAAGAAATATCGTGGAAAATAGACAAAAGTGTGTTTTTGTAGTGTATCCTCAGTGACCATCTAGTTATCTGTTTGCATGGAAGAGGAATCTCTGCCTTGATTTCTTCCTTCCATACAAACAGATTGTTGGATTCTGCCATTTATTCTTCGAAATTAGTATTCTCTGTATTGAGTGACCATTCAACCTTATTTTTTTTCTGGAAAATGGTTAGGTACACGAAACTATTTTCTCATTCGAACAAAGAGTATAAAACTTCAGAAATCATTGTTTACGAGTCAAGCTTTCTGAAATTTTTTCAATTTCATCGCTACCTAATTTCATTATATTCCTCTTTCAAATCTCTAATCATTGAATCCAAACGAAAATCTTCAAGATCAGAAAATACAGGAAACAACATGAGGATTTTCGATCTTCGACTACGTATCAGGACAAATATATTCGACGTCCCCTATTTATGTCACCTTTTCCAAACTGAACTGAAATGCCGTATCGAGTGTTAGCACATGCCTTATCCGCCATATTTATCCAGCCAGTTAAGGGTCACAGGTGGGCCCTATAAGCAACTCTCGAAGAAACTGCGTCTAGTAACTACCTACCTTTTTTGTCATGTAGATTTTTCGGCCACGTGTGCACTTTTACAAGAGGCCTGAGCTTTTTCTGAGTAGGTATCCCGAACGTGCCAGATGTATTTCTCGTATAGCTCTCCTCATTTTTTATTCATGATTTGTGCCTACCTAAGTATAAATCAATTTGTGGAATGGAAGTTTCATAAGAATGGACACATTTTCGAGAGATCTGCATTGGCAGGGATTTAGAACCGATAGGATTTGTACATCTGGTTGTCGAGATATTGGAAATCCTTTTTTCTAGATTTGGCTCTTCCCGGAAATTCGCAATGAATATCAAATTATTGGGTTCATTCGATGATTGGGGATACTGGTCGTGAAACTTAGTGGAAAACGTTTTCCCCGTAGATTTCTCGGATATTTCTTGTAAATTTATCAGTAGAGTGGAAGTACACACCTGATATCGTTACAAACCATCACTAATGTTGAATTCATGCAAGAGTTATTTCGAATTGATATTTAATGAACTCATTTGATCTGTTTTTACATTCGTGATGGATGATGTCAAAAACTACTGAAAAATTATCTCACGCTTAAAAATCTACAATATTAGCGAGTAGTACGAGTTGTATTTTGTTTTCATAGAAGTGGAATTCATTCTTTAGCGTTCATTGCATTATAGTACTTGTCAGTTGTTGTTTCCTTGATAATTATCAAATTCGAAAATGCTCAATAAATCCTTCTTTTAATCGGGATAAACTTTAATTGATTTTTCCTTTGTCAAATTATCAGTAACTATCCAAAACATTTTATTTTCTTATCTACAGATTCATATTATAAACAATTCAAGGCAAACTAATAACGAGATGAAAAAATCAATATAACATCAGTACTTACAAACAGTGCGCGTGGCTTTAAAGTTGAATCATACAACACCTTTTCAAATCAATTAAAATATAGAATCGAAAGATGATGACATTCGTATCATATGACTGAATAATTCCACAATGAAGAATGAATATGCACAAGAAAATTCGTCTACGAATGATACAAATCGGACCTTCGGTTCAGAAGTTACGACGGATATAAAAAGTTGTGGACTTGAACAAACTGAATTGACTTTGTGTGGAACTTGATCGATGATCACTATTAAAAAATCGATACTAATATAAATGTAAAAGTTTGTGAGGATGAATGTATACAATATTTTTGTGGCTCTTTCACGCCTATACGACTGAACGGATTTAGATGAAACTTCACATAAATACAGCTTATACATCAGAATAACATATAGGCAACAATTAACAAAGGTATTGTGTAATTTTGGGCGTACTATAATGAAGTGTTAAGTAAGTTGGAAAAATTCTTGCTCTCTAAGAGCTATCTTGACGTGCGCTGCCTATACCTACCGTTGGAGTTACATGCAGATGATGTACCGTAAGATTGTTCATCTTGAATAGTTCTAAATGAAAGTCTGCGATATCATATATCTACCTCTTATATGGTAGCCCATATATGCAAAATACTGAGCTATAAATACAATTGAATCGGATACTATTTTCACAATGCACATTTGAAAATATCTGTCAAATTCTTATAAAAATGTATACAATCGTCGTTTTTGAGTATTTAATATAGATAAACTTTGTCTTTTACACTACGTAATTTGAACGAATCGTTCAAAATTTTTCACGATAAGATTAACTTGACGCAATGCAGTAAGCCATCACGCGTCGCTTCTACTATGACTCAATGAAAGACGATACGCGGGGGTAGAGGGGCGGTCTAAACAATGAAGCGCCATTGCCGAGAATGCAACCCGAACGTGGGCAGACGTCGTTGACGAGTGTGTCAGTTTTGCAAAATTTCATTATAGGTAACATAATTCATTTCTTGAAGCTATTCATAACTTATTGCAGTTGGCATATTTCTTTATTTACTGTATTTTTGAAGTGAAAATATAGATTACTAGCTGTTGCCCCCTCTTATTTTAGCAAACAGCCGAAGCTACTGAACCCAAAATCTTGTAATATGTAGGTAGGTTCTTTGTCTAGCGTGAATAGGCATTGATGCTTTCTTGAGAAAGTAGTCCAGAAAAATAGGGGTTCAAATATTTTATTGAATTTTGTCAGTTTTGAAATTGGAAACCTGAGGTTTTGGGTTAATCAGAAAATATTGTAACTATTTGTTTGAAATTATCTATCACGAAACTTGATGTGACGAACTAAATTTTACACAGGCAAAGCCGCGGGCAACAACTAGTTAATGATAACACTCATTCAAATTCAAAAACTCACAAATGAATCCTGTAGTTCAACCATATTCTGTAGTTATCACATTTATTCCACCCGTTAATTCATGTAATACAATTGGTCGATACTCGATGAAAATCAATATCGTGTTCAAGTAACACTTTGTTTTGAGATTATCACTCAACCGTTTACAAAAGCGTAACGCATGATTCGTTATAAGATAGCTTCTTCAGGTTTTATCTGAGTATCCGTTTGTGTTTCGCTTGTTCACACTTATTCGTGTCCTAGTTCCAACTGTTTTGTAGCACGATGTTGTCTCGTTTTTATTTATATGCCACATTCAAATATTCGTATTTGTTCGTCATCACATGCTAGTATTTTTACGTTCGCCTCACAGAAGTTCAAAGCCATCGCGCGAATCGATGCACATGGCATGTTCATGCAACATGTGCCATTGTCGGTTCGTCCAATAGGGCTACTAACTTTGCCAAGAGCATAACAAAATAGTGATTCTTGAACATTCTTGAAATTGTTTCTTTATCACAGAGTACTGTGTATGGCAAAATGATTCTAGAAATATTCCAGTCAAACGGGTGGTATGGCATGTGTTGTTGAATGCTCTATTCGTCCATGGTGAGTTTACAAAACAAACTCAATAAATTGCAACTAATTTGACAGATATAGCTTAAACAAGATCGTTGTTATCAATTATCAATATTGAAAAGTCTCTGTTGAAAGTTCTACTGTGAGTCTGTCAAAGTTTTTTTGTTAACTGTGTCTACAGACAATTACATTATGATTCCGTGTAAACGTGACTGTAGAAATACTCTATGAATTTCTCTACGTTTGGGTTATCGGAAGTCGCACACAAACTTCATTCAGAAAGTTATAATGAGCAGCTGATATGATACTTACCAGTAACTTTCAACTCTAGAAAAATACTTGTAGTCGGATGAGTCGAAACCTGGCATTCGTAAAGTCCAGCGTCATCTGGCCTGACATGCTGAATAACCAAGCCCCAGTTTTGCAGATGCCTCGCGTGCTCAACAAGGAATCTTTGATCTGCAATATATGTTGTAACACCAACTGTCAGAATTGTAGGAGGTGAATCTTCCTTTCTGATCCAAGATACCTGGAACAATACATATCGTGGGTACAGTAAAGTAAATTGCCAAGACCATGGCTCCGAAAATAATGTACTGTGTTGAATGAGTATCTGCCCATTATGGCTCAAGCTCTCATACAGAGTGTTACAAGATGCATGAAAGGTGTTGCAAAAGTTATAGTCTTCCTCATAACACTATTTGGTTTGATTATCGTATATATTCAATGGGTTTTTCAATATTTTGTCGATACGGAAGTTATTTGAAATTCAATTATCATCAGCGCGTCAAATAGAATTCTTGAAGGGGTATTTTCCAGACAGAGCGATGAGAATGTTTCAAATTGATTTTTTTCTGTAAATTATTCATACTCAAAATGAAGAAGCAGATCAAATTATTCATATATCAATTATTGAAAGCGAAATACACTCTTAATGTCGAGCATCGAAGTAATGAGTCATTTTTAAAAAGCTATTCTATAGGTGAACATAAATAGTTCAGTTGAAAAGTGAAAAATTTTATATTCATTCCAAACATACAATATTGTTGTATGATTTGATATAACAAACTTACCTGATATAATCAGGTAAGGAATGCAGGTATGTGATACATCTAAAAGTGTTTTTCATGAAAAATACTGGAAATTTTAATGGGAATCCATAAGTGAAAGCAATTTTGGATGCTAAATTAAAAACACATTTGATTATAAATGAGAGTGTCCCGGAACACTCGTAGCTGGCTGTGGAGGTTTGGTGGTAAAACAAACCTGTAGTTTTTTGGGAAAGAAAGTTTTTGGCTTTCTACTACTCCATCTGATACAAAAAAAGAAATGAGAGAATCTTCCAAAGAAAGGAAGGAAGTAATCAATTTGAAAGATTCTCTCATCCCTTTTTTTGTATCAGATGGAGTAGTACAAAGCCAAAAACTTTCGTTCCCAAAAAATTAATCACTCCTAAAAATATAACCCCTTCAATTCAAATAAGATTCCTCTTGGCTGGGATTAAATTAAATAGGTGAATGAATGTCATTACGATGTCATCGATGACATAAGCAGATCAAACTTATTCCGTGACATTCAAAATCGTAATTCATGAATGAA